ATATTGCTCTCAATCCGTCTTTAATCAGGTCGTTGATCGGGTGGAGCACGAGATTCGGAACAACGGGCTCGTCTGCGTGCTACGTAACGTACATCCAACCTCCACTATTTGCTGGTGCCTACTGCTATTAGGTACTTGATTGCGCCTTTGAGGTCATACCGGCCGCACTCTAGACTACACGCAGCCTAGATCCAGCAAAAGTGCCTGTCACTTGCTCCAGGGTCCAGTCGAGATGACAAGTAGTGTCGAGTTGGCAGTTGCCTAGCCTCACCACGTCTCCCGTCCATGTACTAGTGGCGGCCAGATAGGAGACGAGGCCAGCCGTGTACATAGGAGGTACTCGCTCTCACCCATCCGACGAGGAGCAATTATGCGACAGCTGTCAGGGTTTCAGCGGTTAAACTCTTGCATGAGCAGGGCCCGCCCCGGTGTGATAGAGCGAGCGCATGAGCAGAGTGCCATGCTCACGCCCAAAGGTGCAATTGCCTCGACGGCCGTGACGCCTCACAGCAGAGGTATTGGATTGGATTGGATTGGGCCGTCTTCTGCAGAATGATAATCCAGCACCAGCTGCTGCTTGGCACCGAGGGTCCACACAAGTGTTGTGCCCATCACCGCCAGTTCCGGCAAAGATTGTCTTATCGACCGGTCTGGACCGCTACCGGAAATTTCCCCCAGATGCAAGCTTTTTGGTCGTCTCGCTTGGCAGAGCCGTTCTAGTCCTCGACCGATGGATGTTTACTTTTTTTTCGTGTGGCTGCCCTTGGCTTTCTTTTTCTCCAAAATACATGCAGTCATAGTAATACTTAGCGCTGGTAGTGCCCGTATTCAGCAGCTGGCGCTCTCTTAAACCCGCTAACTTGCCATTTCCCTCTTTACCTGTTGGGCTCGTTGTGGTGCTTCGTCTAACGGAAACGGATCTGCCCCAGTTCAGGTACGTGTCGGCTTCGCGGCGTGTCTACAGCAGCCGCACGAAGCTGGTATCCCGGGTGTTTGGCATTTAGGTTTGGAGTTATTCATGCACGTCTTTTCGAAACGCTTCCGATCATGGAGCGGCATGTTTCTGCCTGCAGGCCATCGGCTTCGGTCAGCATGCCTAAAAGGAATGTCCTACAGGCTAATAGTGCTCTCCACTATTCTACCAGGTCCTCTGATGTGCAAGACTCGCTGACAATGTGTGGCTCCTGCTTGTCGGAGCTTCAGTTATGCTCCTCCACCCGTTATATAGAGTACCTTAAGGTATATACACGCCTGTAGATGTCATGTTTACCCCGTCTTGGCTGAGGAACTTGGGTGGAATCTAAACAGGCTACCGGTAGTTGCCAAGCTCCATTCAGGCATAACGGTTTCTGACGCCATGGGTCTTTCATTTCTTGCATCGCTGCTGCTTTGACACCGCAAGACACACCACGTCGCTCGGCATCATTGTGGCTTGGTGATCTACATTCCCGAGACGAGTCAAACCCATGTGATCAGAGTGTGTGCTCTATTCCATATGCTACCACCAGTAAACAAGCCCGATTCCATCCAAGCGACTGACATAAAACATGGCACACCAAAGCTCTGTCTACACAAGTTAGGGACCTTATTTCTCATCAGTAATACTAAGCACAATAATGAGAAAATCACAGATTATTTTCTATCATATTTACCTTGATATTGTGTTTTGTTTACTGCCATGTTTTATGTCAGTCGCTTGCCATCCTCCAGCTGGCATTATTTGTGGCAGGGTCCGTTCTGCCGACCAGCCGTCTCTCCTCCTAATACATTTTGGTAGAAGGCCGCACGGAATCCCGGCGGAGGTTGATGGAGCGTCACGGCTCAGGAACACGATGTGTGGCTATTGATTGCGCTATGAATATAGTGACGGGACCAGCTGCATGTCTATCTTGACGTAAATCGCCGGGCCGTTTTGCTGTAGACTACCCAGGCAAGAGACTGATAGGTATACCTACCTATAAAATATGGCACATCTAGACAGATCAGCATTGCATTTCAACACAATATCAGTATGATCAACCTAGTAATAAATGCCATATCAAGCTAAAAATCGTAGAATAATTTGTTATTCTCTTATTGTTGTGTTCGGTTAAAACCTAGTTGCCTTACGCGAAAAGAGCTTTGGTGTGCCATGTTGTATTTCACCCACTTGACAGGAAAGAGCGAGCAGATCACATCACCCCAGATAGTCGCACATTAGTAGAACGAACTCTATCGGCGCCCAACAGATGGTAACTGTCGGTCGGTAGGATCGAGGCAGTCCGGTAAGAACCGGATAATTGTTCTACCATCTACCATGGCGCCTGCCTCCTCTCACCTTCTCTCTCGGCCGCTGCGGGGCCGGTAGAGATGTTCAATGGTTAGGAGGCTCGGCCAACGGCACTGAAGCCCCGCAAACCCATCACCTCACTTCATTCATGGCTCCGTCCGACGGTCCACCGCACACCGATCACATCCAGCAAGCGCCCTTCTTCCTTCTGGCTGGTGATATCCAGCAATATGATGCCACTTCTGCGAGTTTTTGCTGACCAGAAGGCACGGTGCCGGGCTCCCAGCCGCCAATGCTGTGCGACAGATCAACCAACATGCATATGGGCTGGTCAGATGCCGGCCCTGATTGGCCTGATGCAAATTTCTGTGGATTTGAATATCTGGGCCTCAAGCTCTCCCCAGTCCAACAGGCCAATGGCAGCGCAGAAGCAGCATGGGGCGGGAGGGTATCCCTGAGGGGCCAATGTGATGAGGACTCTAAGCGCCGGTACATATGCCACTCGCCCAATCTTTGGCGGCGATGCTCACCACAGGATGGCCCTTAAACACGGCCAGTTCCCCCCTCCTCCAGGGCCGCCAAGATGGCTGGCTGGACCTGCGCATGATTGACCTCTTTTTCCCACCCCCCAATGTCAAAGCATCTCATCCAGAACCTGTCCCCGTTCATCTTGTAACCTGCGAGAGGTCAGGACACACAGAACTGGGCGAGCGAGCAACAAGGCCCGGAATCATCTGCACCTTGGATGTGAAACAGCCCAGGGCTCGCCGAAGCGACCGCTATAGCTTCCGGATACGATCCAACCCCAACACTCGCCTTGACGGCTGTGTCTATAATTGTCCAGTGAACACCCAACCTTTTTCCCAGCATGGTATCCCTCAAGGAGAAATTCGCCTATCCCGGCCCTTACCGTCCCATATACAGGAAATGGGTCAAAACAGCTCGCAAAGCCATCTGGTGGCTGATGCTCTGGGAGCTCTTCGGCACTGTCGCAGGCCTCGTCATTTTCGGCATCTCGCAACCAAATCTGTATCGCACCGACATGTGGAAGATCGGCTGGGATAACAAGCTCAATTCAAACCCCAACATTGTCCTGTACGCATATGCGAATTACGAACCGCTTCCTAAGATCGCGTTAGTCTGGACGCGAACGTAAGTCTCATTCCTCGCCTTTTTTTATATATTAACAATATTACAACTCCATAAAAGGTACCCAAGTTCAATTCGCTAACCCGTGCGACCGTAGATTCACCGACTTCAACGTCGCCATCTCAGTCCTCTCACTTTTCATGCTCCTGGCCAAACTCACGGCCTGGATCATGAGAGTGTGGTTCCCAATCCTCGCCTGCTTCATCAACATGTCCATGGCGACCCTCTACCTGGTCAGCTTGTACGGCAATATCGGCCCCGACTTCACCGACCCCCGATATCCTGCGCCTGTGGCCTGGTACCTCCGTTACGGGTGCGAGATGGCAAGGCCGTATAAGGCCTACAGATCGTGCCAGATCGCCCAGTCCGCAGTCTTTATCTCAGCATACATGGCGTAAGAACAGCCCTTCCTATTCCCATAGCCCCCGAACATCCACTAATAGGACTATTGCTGACTGATATCCGACAGAACCATTTACCTCATTGGTCTTGGTTTCTCCATCCACGCAATGTTGCCCAACAAGTCGATCGATTGCCCTCGCAAACCTGATGACGACGACGATGATGATAATGTCAGCCACCACTCCTCTCCCGATTGGGAGATGGGCAACATAAAGAGCGGTGGTGTTGTGACCTCGACACCTTTCACGCCGGGGCCTTACACACCCTTCACACCGAGGACCCAGGCTTTTAACACGCTTGACCACAACTCATCCGCGAAGCCCGAGGCAGTGCAGGGGCGATATGCCTAAGATAAGCGATAATCTTGGGAATTGTTTTGTTTTGTTTTGTTTTTCCTTCTGTCGAATAATGCAGGCGGAATAGGTATTGGTCTCTTGATAGCTCCGCGAGCACCAGGCAGACGCTCATGTATAGGCATCCGGGTATGACAGCATATAAGTTTCATAGCGGCGTAATGGGAATGGGGGGTTTGAACAATTGAAACTACATTATGAACTCACGACAGCTTCTACCAAAATATTTGAGATTCTTCCCTATTGGAATTCATCTGTTTAACAACCCATTCAAGAAAAAGACAGTGCGAAACAGCCAATCGGATGCTATGTCTTGCTATAGTAAATCCTATCGCTGGTCGTTCAAGAATAGTCTGGCAGCAACACGGTGAGTGGTTCTCATTAGACTTGCCGGAACTGGAACCGGCCCATCCCAACGGCACGATGCTAATAGTGGGGGCAGTTCCTAGACGTCATCGATCAAGGGCTTCGACAACAGCGGTTTCGGCCAAAAAGAGCAGCCTTATAAAGAGAGAATAAGTCGATTATAAATCTCGGAGGGAGGAAAGGAGAGAGGATAGGCCATTGATAATCAGCCAGAACGAAAAGATCCGGTCCGTGATTCCGTGCAACACAAAAAACGGCCGGAACTCCGGGGAGTTAGGCACAGATCTCGGGGTTCAGCGGCTTGGAGGGGCGCTAGCATCATCGGCATCTCTATCGGAGCTATCTCATAGCGGGGGAGCATTTCGAAACTGCCTTGAGCTCTCTTCGGGTAAGAAAAAAGAGACCCGGATCCCTCACACACATCAGCCGTGGATTGACTGACTTGGCATCCATCCACAGCCATGGCGTTGTTTAAAAGGGCAGCGATGCCTTCCCTTCGCTTCTCTCCGGGGGTCACTTCATCTATCATCAGCATTCGAAGAGCGTCCTCAATGGCCCCTCCAAAGGTACGTCATTCCCGCAGAACTTGACCAACCTTTCCATGTCCGCAAGAGCATCCGTACTGACCTCGCCCTCGGCAGCTCAACGATCCTTCTCTGTTCAAGCAGAATGCCTGCTACGTCAATGGCGAGTGGCGCGCCGCCAAGTCCGGCAAGACCTTCAAGGTGAACGGTATGCGCAACACGTCCCCCAGCCTCAATCGCCATCACTGGGCGCCAATTGAAGTTCTCCCATCCAACTAACACGCCTTCTCGCTTCCCAGACCCTTCGACGGGCGAGTTCATCGGAACCAGCCCCGAATTCGATGTAGCAGACACCAACTCGGCCATCATCGCCGCCGCCGACGCCTTCCCATCCTTCCGCGCAAAGACCGGCCGCGAGCGCGCAAAGCTGCTGCGGAGATGGTTCGACGAGCTCAACGCCAACGCCGAGGACATCGCCAAGCTCATCACATGGGAGAACGGCAAGCCGATCAACGACGCCAAGGGCGAGTCGGCCTACGCCGCCAGCTTCCTCGAGTGGTTCAGCGAGGAGGCGCCTCGCATCTACGGCGACACCATCAACAGCTCCAACCCCTCCAACCGCATCATAACCGTCAAGGAGCCCGTGGGCGTCTGCGGCCTCATCACGCCGTGGAACTTCCCCGCCGCCATGATCACCAGGAAGGTTGCCCCTGCGCTGGCGGCCGGCTGCACCGTGGTCTGCAAGGCTCCCGCCGAGACCCCGTTCACGGCTCTTGCGCTGGCTGAGCTGGCCCACCGGGCTGGCATCCCCAAGGGAGTTGTCAACATCGTCACGGCGCTGGACAACACGATCGAGATTGGGAAGCTGCTCACCACCTCCCCGACCATCAAGAAGGTCTCATTCACCGGGTCGACTGGTGTGGGCAAGATCCTCATGAAACAATCTTCTGATACTCTCAAGAAGCTGTCCATGGAGCTTGGTGGCAATTCGCCCTTCATCGTGTTTGACGATGCCGACGTGGACGCCGCGGTGGCCGGAGCTATTGTCTCCAAGTTCCGCTCATCAGGCCAGACCTGCGTCTGTGCCAATCGCCTCTACGTTCAGTCTAGTATTTATGATCAGTTTATTCAGAAGTTCACCGAGGCCGTCAAATCCTTCTCTGTTGGCAATGGCTTCGAAGATGGCATCACCCATGGTCCTCTGATCCACGACCGTGCCATCGACAAGGTCGACTCCCATGTCCGGGATGCCGAGAAGAAGGGTGCCACTATCACCATCGGTGGTCAGAAGCTTCCCAACCTTGGTGCCAACTTCTTCCAGCCCACCGTCATCCGCGACATGACCGCCGACATGGCCATCGCCACCGAAGAGACCTTTGGTCCCGTCGCAGGAGTTTTCTCCTTCGACACGGAAGCGGAAGTCGTCCACTTGGCGAACCAATCTGATGTTGGTCTGGCAGGTTACTTCTTCTCTCGTGACATTTCTCGCATCTTCCGAGTCGCCGAGGCTCTTGAAGTCGGCATGATCGGCGTCAACACTGGACTCATCTCAGACCCGGCCTCGCCGTTTGGCGGTGTCAAGCAGAGCGGTTTCGGGAGGGAAGGCTCCAAGTACGGTCTGGCCGAGTTCCAGACGATCAAGTCGGTCACATTTGGCGATATGGGCAAGCCTTTGCAGGGCAAGTTGTAGGGCGTATATACATATATTTATTATTAATGCTATGAAATGAAAAGAAGCTTTTGTTCCTAAATTTCTACAGGGATGAATGGTACTCATTCATTGACACCGACTTGATTGCCAGACTCACCGATAGGCCATCGCCCATTCCAATTTAATAGTCATTCTAAAACCTTGAACATACATTAGAATAATTAAGGAAAGACAGCAAAATTCCATACATTTTTTGCATAAAAATAGAATCAATTGGGGACCTAATGGCTGTCATACTCAATACCGACTCTAGGGTAGGTAAATGGTCACGGGCTGCGCGAACGTTTCGGTTGTCACCAAAAACCTACTGACAGGACAAAAAAATGACAAAATTAAAAAGAACACAGATCTAAGGAAAGTAATAGATGTGATTTTGGGGTAGCAAAAGCAAAAATGATCGCGGCAGGGTTCGAACCTGCGATCTTTTGGGGGCATACATCTTATGAATGTAAACCAAACGCCTTACCACTGGGCCACGCGACCAAGGCGATGTCAAGGACGATAAGATTGGCGGGCTCGCCATATTATATTGGACGTCGTGGTGATCCTCTTGAGCAATCTCGCTCGCTCCATATCAGTCAAGACTTCAATAACTCTCTAGATTTGTCTGCATGACCATTGTTTCGATTTTACCGATATTCTGTTTGTTCAATTGAGTCAAGCATCTATTTTCGTGGTTGATAATCCGTGTGTTGCTTCGATACTACCTACTTGCAGCATTGACCGGTAGAGCCTTATCTTATCAAGACCTTGAAACTTCTGAACGGCCCTCTCTTTCATCAACGTCCAAGAGGTTTCAAGTCTCAAGAGCACCGATATGTCCCTCTCAAGAGCCAATTTGCCAGTGAGGCAATGCCTCAGTTGTATTCCACACATCCAGAAGTACGCAAGCTTCCCCTCCCCTCCCCTCTCTAACGATGCTAACCCCTCCAACAGGCGAGCTATCCCAGCCGCATCATGGCGAGCCTCAGTAGCTTCTAGCTCCCCCGCCCACCAGGCCTCCCCCCTCGCTCCCATCCGCTTCTTCAGCGCCTCCCAGAACCTCCAGAAGAAGCGCAAGATCGCCGCCCCAAAGGGCTCCCGCTCCGAAGAAGCCCACGTCGATGATGCCCCCTCCGGCAAGCGCAAGGGCGGCGCCGCCCCCTCATCCACCCCCAACGACGCCGCCGCCGCCGAGGAGATCGACCCCCTCGACTTCTCCGCGCTCATCACCGCCTTCGGGCCCATCGACGCCCACTTCAAGGCCCAGCTCCAGGCCCTCTCCCACGGCGGCCGCTTCAACCCGACCAACCTCGGCGCCCTCACCGTCCACGTCACCTCCCACGAGATGGCCGACGACGCCAGCGGCACCATGACCACCGTCGCTGAGGACTTCCCCCTCTCCGAGCTCGCCCAGATCGTGCCCCGCTCCGGGCGCACAATCTCCCTCCTCGTCCACGACCGGAGCTACATCAAGCCCATCATGTCCGCCGTCCAGGCCTCCCCGGACTACAACCAGCAGCCCCAGCGCTCCGAGGACAACGACCTCGAGTTGCTGCTGAAAGTCGAGATGGAGCGCAAGGAGGACGTCGCACGCCGCGTCAAGGAGGCCACGCAGCTGTGGCGCGAGCGCGTGCGGGCCGCCAGGACCAAGCACGAGAAGCACATCAAGGACTGGCAGAAGAAGAAGACCATCACCACCGACCTGGCGAGGAAGGCGGACAAGGAGCTCCAGAAGCTCCAGGACAAGAAGATGAAGGAGATTGACGGCGAGGAGGCCAAGGCGATCAAGTCGCTGTAGTGGGGGGGTTATCCCCTAGTAAGCTACATATGTACATTAGAAAAAAAAGCAGGCATATCATTTTATCAAAAATCGGGCGGGAAAAAAGAGACCAGTGTATCGTAATATTATTACACAAAGTGTACACACATATTCAGCTATATCATACAGTTCAAGCTTTGGCCCGGGGTTGCGGTTTCGCCTTGTTCAGCAAGGACGTGAGCTTCGCCTCGAACAGATTCGTCTCCTTCTCTGACCAAGTCTCAGACCTCAGGTGCCAGTTGCGTGCCACGCCCACCGGATCCGAGCCTTGCTTGATCGCCTCGTGCTGGCCGGCGACTGCCTTGTCTAGAATAACCTGCTTGATGGACTCTTCAACCCCGTCCATCATGATCACCTCATTGTTTCTCTCGACGGGGGCGGGCTCCTCATCCTCTGCAGTATTGAGATACGCTTGCATGACCGCATCGTCGTAGCGTTTTTCTTGCATGGCCTGCTCCAAACCGACCTTGGTTTCCGGATCGGCAAAGAAGAGCAGGCCGCCCTGCTGAAGCCGCTCTCCGTAGCCGCTGGCCTGCTGCAGGCCCAGGGCAGTGCCGACGCGGTCTCCGGTGCCGAGATACTGGAGGTTTTCCAGCACGGTGGCCGACTTGTTGCCTGATGCCGAGGGGACAGTAGGCATGAAGTCACTCAGAGCCTCCGCAGTCACTGGCGCCGGGTTGAAGACCTCGGTCGTTCCGAAACGAACAACATGCTCAAGCGCCTCCTCGGCGGGGTCCGGTTTGGTATTTTCCCTGTCTTCATCTCTCCTTACACGCTCACGTTCCTGCCGCTCAGCATTCTCGCCCTCCTGATCACCGTCTCGCCGTTTCCCTCGTCCGCCACCTCCCCGGCCTCCCCGGCCACCTCGACCACCTCGGCCACCACGACCCGCAAAGCCACCACGAGCGAACCGGTTCGTCCCAGTGGGCGATGGGCTTCGTAGGTGAGGGGGGACAGCTGCGCCTGCGCCACCACGCATCGATACACGCCCAAGGCCCCTCCCACGGCCTCTTAGGCCACCTCTTGGTAGACTCTTGACATCGATGACTCTGGGCTGGCTGCTGGTTCCTTCGGAGCTCGCAGCTGTGTTGGCCTGAGCAGGGCTGGCGCGGTTCCTTGCAAAAGCCTTGACTTCGTTCGCGGTATTGAGGGAGCGTTGTCGGAGATTGGGGGGTGCGCTGCTTCCTTTATTGCTGTCCTCGTCGGCGAGCCAGTTGTTAGATGTCGAGAAGTGGCGGAAGTAGCTGGAAACGTTGTCTGTTGCTTGCTCCAATTCTGGCCTCGTGCGGCTGCAGACTGCGCGGAAAGCTCGTCGTCCAATCATTGCCGTATTTTTATGCAGGATTTTCCATGCATTGACGGCAAAATGTGTGAAGGAGGATGGCTTGGCCGCAAGTAGTGGCGATGATGAACGTTGCCAAACGGCTGGTACACTGATCAAAAAGTTTCTAGGATTTCACGTGACCCACATATCCGCCCACTTGTCACACCAACTGCCCATGCTTCAACTATATATTATCATGAGACGACTTTCTCAAGTCTCGTTTCGTATAATTTTCTCCTCTCAATTATGTAGACATGAAATGAGATGATGATATCTACTAACCTTATTCTTACTTTGAATGTTCGTCATTGAATGCCCTATGTTACATCAATCACGACAAGGCTTGGGATGGATGCAGTAACCAGGTTGGGTATTAATTTGAAACTATGAAAACTCCTCCAAACAATAAGAACTAAGTGTGACGCAAGATTTGCGCGAGCCATAGCATAAAATACATACTGGGATACGTATAAAGCCCCAGACGAATCGGCACCCACGCTTGCATCCACTCCTTCTCTGCCATTTCGAAATATCTCTACACAGGTTGTCGTCTCGCAGGATCCTGGATTATATATCCTCAGAAACCGCCATGAAGTATGATATTGAGATTGATATGACTTGATCCCTGTGTTGAACCACCCATTTCTGGGATGTGGATAGAGACAGCTACGTCTCATCCTCCAACAAGGGACCAAGTTAGGCGATGGCCATGAGCCTCGAGTTTCACCTCGCTGCGTTGACCCCCGGACGCCTTTGGTCAATATCGCTCTACTGTAGTTTGGCCTCAAATCTCTCCTCGTGTTAATAATAATCGAACCGACCGTGAGGTGTTCTTAGCGCCCACTTCTCCCGAGCCCTCAACGACTTCGACGCCCCTTGGTCGAAATACATCTGAATTAGATTGAATAACCCAGGGTTGCCCCTATATCTGTATATACGCTCACACGCTTTGAGGATGCACATTCGCAGGCTAAAGAAAGGTCAGAGTACTGGGTGCGGAGAGGACAAACGATGTCGGATAGCTCTACTCACGGGGCTGTTTAGCATTTGTTGTCGTTTGTTTCGTCCCTTCTTGATATGGCTCTTGAGTGCGCTGGAGTCGAGAGGCTTCAGCAGCTCAAAGCTGCAGAGCAGTTCGGCCGACACCGACATCACTGCTCCCCAGTTATCAAATTCACCACAGTACTATGCCGTGTTAGTGACAAAATCGAACGAAGTAAATACGCTCTGAACAGAAAACTTACATTTGGTGCACTGAAAACGGTTACCAAGACTTTGTCGTTAAAAAATTCGTAGCCATCTTCAACTACCATGTGTGCTCGGCAAACCAGATCGAAATCATGAACTGCCAAGAAGTCTGTAATGACTCGTTTGCCAAAACAATAGCTCACACCGCGCTCGTTGGCCTCCCAATCCTGTTCCATTTCAGCAGGGTCAGACCAGAGGAGGTCATTGAGGAGGCCGTAGTCGGGAACATCCGTGGGACGAGCAATGTTTCGAATGTCATCCATCTGGCTCAGTGCGGGTGATAGTCCCCCATGGACACAGAATATCTTCCCTGCAACGATGGACGCGATTGGTAAAGTATTGAAGCAATCGACAAAGGTCTTCCAAATCTTGACATTGCACCTTCGCTTGCATTCGTCGTAGAACCCATAGACTCTTGTGACATTGGCGCATTCGTGGTTGCCGCGCAATAAAAAGAAGTTTTCGGGAAACTTGAGTTTATAGCAAAGGAGGAGCAATATCGTCTCAAGGGACTGCTTGCCCCGGTCAACGTAATCGCCGAGGAAGAGGTAGTTCGAGTTGGGTGGAAATCCGCACATCTCAAACATTCGAATAAGATCAGTGTATTGACCATGCACATCGCCCACAATCTTAACAGGAGCGTCGAGTTCGAGGAGTGCCGGTTGGCTCAAGAACACTTCTCTTGCTCGTTGACAGATTGCTACAATCTCTGCATTCTTTAGACAAACGCTCTTCGTCACTTTGCCAGCATATCCCGCATCAAGTAGACGCTTGATAAAATCATCCAGATCAATGTCCTTGATGTCCGACATGGCAACATTGTTCATTGTTTCGGTCTTGCTCGAATCCGTCGCGGAATCCTGCTGGATTGGGTTGGGCGCATTCTCACGCCGCACAAGGATGGACTGGCCAGGAGACTGTGTGCTTGTATTGGCGTTGGCTACAGATGTTGGTGGTTGGTCGGACACATGGTCTACCTCGCCCGAGGCCTGGGCAGCGTTCAGGTCAGAATGATGCCCCTTCTTCACAGACTGAGACTGCACTGGAGAGGGTGGGGGTTGGTCGTCGGAGGTGGGCGAAAGAGGTGATTCTACTGAGGTGTCTACTGAATCCGTTCTGAGATTTGGTATGTCGGGTCGGTTTGGCCGGGACGCGCTGGATCGTGCGCTTCGCCCCGATCTGACCGACGCCGCGTCCGCGGTTTTGTCACCCGAGTCGCCATTTGAGAGGATGGCCGAGGTTCGCGGGCTGTCTAGCTTGCCACTTCCTGGTATCTTGGATCGGAGAGAACGGAACGATCGTGACGATTCTTTCGTGTCAGACTTGCTGAACGACGGATATTTTTGCAGGCTGTCCCCAACAGAAGCTCCAGGTCCCTTGGATGAACCACTTTCCCTGGAACTCTGATTACCCATCTTGTAGTTGGAGATCCCACTCGACAAGGAAGTGTGGCACCTGTCTCAAATTCCACAGGGTTGCGCCCGCCCTCTGGAATCAGCCTTGCCGAAAGGTTGTTGATTTGCAATCCGCTGCTGACAGGCTTGGTCGGTTCTAGGGAGGGTGAAACAATCTGCCAAGGACGGAAAAAGGGACAGACCGTGAGCCTTTTAGAGTGTCCGTTTTGTGTGACTTGGGCAAGCGCCTCGACGAATCCGATTAGACGTGCGTGAGGAAAGGGTGTGCTCGGTTATGAATGACGTCCGTCGGATTGGGTATCGATTGCTGCAGGCCAGGGTGGTACTACTGAACAAACAGTTGCTACCCAAGAAATGAAAAAGTCAGCAAATTGCTGTGAGAATACTAGAATGAAAGTGGTCGCTGCGCGTGGTTGACGAATATCGCTGTTTTTGAGACAGGTTGCGGGAGCCAGGCGACGGGATCATCAAAAAGATAGACAAGACAGCTTGGCGGGTACGGTGCCGAGACTTGCGCCAGCAGAAAAGAGTTGGTACCGATTCTGACTGATAGACGTCCGAGATCGCAGATGGGAATAAATTGCCGGGAGTTGGAGCTGAATACTCACCGGTTCTCACAGGGCAATGCTAATCCGAGGCACGTGCCTGCTTGCAGGTGATAACTGATGTGAGGAGGGGGGGGCCTCTGATTATCGTCCTGTTGTGCAGAGTGACAATCTCTGAAGGGGCGAGATTGGTGGTAAGGGGCCAGGCGAGAAGCGGAGCGCACGAGGAGGGGGATTGGAGAGGATTAGAAGCGAGGATGTGTAAGGCACCGGCAGGGCCTGGCGAGGAGAGGTACAGGTCGCGAGAGAGGTCGAGGCCGGGTGATGATGGCTGGAAAAAATGATGCAGGAGGAGAGCCTGTGACTGCGGCGACAGTTGATGGGCGGCGATTGGCAGCGGTGGTGACGCCCAAATCCGGGGCCCAGACTCCGGGCTCATGTACTGCCAAGGCGAAAACTCGCTGGTCTGGTACCTGTGGAACTGGATTGGGCGACGGCAAAAATTTAAGGTTTTGGCGCCCCTCTCCCAGGTTCAGGTTCCCAGGAGGGGCCCAAGAGGCAGGACCAACCTGTAGGGAGCACCTACCTGCCTGTAGATAGGCCAGCACCCACCCGCTCTTACACCACCTACAGGCGCCATGCCACAGCTTCCGGGAGCCGGACTTAGACACATCAGTCAAGGCGCTCGTCCCGGCGATGGAACGGAGCTATCGGAGGCAGGGAGGGCCCCATCGCATGCGTAATCTGCCGTGTTCGGCGTGGGATTGCGCGGTTCGCACGATCGTGCAGAGAACAGCACTCGTTGCCTGCCTTGAATGCCCAGCAGCGCGGCAGGTGGCATGCCGAATCTTGGGGGTCAGTCGGCAGGCGACAGGTAGTACGGCGATGAACGGCGCCTCCACCTTCCCATCTTACCAGCTTGGCCCTTTTGGGAGATTGGGCATTTTATTAGAGCAGGGAGTATGTTCGAAGCCCTTGTAACAGGCGTATATAGTATCATACGTTTTCGTCGTGTGCTTGTCTGTGTTCCAGCTCTTTTCTGTCCTATGCGCAGCCATATGCACTTTATAAACGAGCTGTGCCGATGTTCATCGCGGGATGGCTTGCCCAGTTCCCTCCATAAGCTCACCTCAACTCCACCCCATGGCTGGCCACTATCTGTCTGTGGTGCTTAGATTTGGAGTCGTTGAAAGCCGATTGCCGACAGGTGGGGCTTATCTGTAGTTTATGCATTGCCCGGTTTGTCACGACGGCTCCAATTGCTTCGCGTGCTTGACGTATTCGAGTTAAGTTTTCCTCAATTGGGTTGGGTATCCGATGAGATTATCTGACATACAACCAGCTACCTCGAGTATCAACACCGCCCTGGCTGGGATGGAGAGATGTGCCACGATAGCGCTGACTCCATTGGCCACCACTTTTTTCTTAGCGTTCATGGTTCGGTGACCCTGGAGCGTTAGACGGCCCCCGTGTGCTTGCTGTCTGGTGTTTACGTACTTCTGGATC